TTTTTATTCTTCACTGCTTTTCCTTTCTTTCTCTGTCTTTTTTCTCGTCTTAAGAACTTCTATGCTCCTTGCCTATAGAGGGAAAATGAACAGACGCTTCTCTTTGGGTGAAAGGCACTGTTTATTCGGTGGGGTGTGGCTGCAGAGCTTCACAAAATCGGCATATAGAATAATCTTTGTTCTTTTTCAAAAGTCAACTGCGTTGTGTGTGTCTGGGCCTCATGTAGCAAACCCATGAATTATATTGATCTCGCAGATGTATTTACAACATTGTTTCAGAAGGTAATTTTAATGTATCACTAGAAGTCTATAAAAATGACTAATTAGAACTATAAATCAAAGGATTTCAAGAAAGTTAGGGCAGTAGGAGAAACTTCTATGCGCTGAGCATATATAACAGGCCCACTAGCACCAAAGAGACCCAGTTTCAAATTCTCCCTCGGACTCGAGTGGCCATTCTCTTTCACCCCAGTCTACCTCATAGGGATGTTGGGGAGAAAAAAAAAATGGGAAGCTGTGTATGCCACCTTGTGTTCCTGAACGACAAATGGGATGTAAATCTAACAAACAAATGTATTGTGTCTTATCTGACAAGGTCAAACAAGATTTTGCAGGCTTTATGGAACAGAACAAAGCCAGCTTATTGGAGGCACAAGTGGGAGGAACAAACATGTTTTTTTAATGTATTGAATATAGTGTTGTCTAATTATGCAAACATCAATGAAATATTGTACCTGAGAAAATGAGTCCATAGACAGAGTGATAAATAACTTCATTTATACTCATCAATCAGCCAAAACCAAACCTTTTTGCCCAGATCACCTTCCTGAATCCAAATGTACTTAATTCCCAGAATTCTCAGAAATGCCATGTTGGCTGGGGAATTCTGGGAACTGAAGTCCACATACTGGAAGGGTACCTTGGTAGGGTCTACCTGGCATAGATCAAAGAATTCTGTCTAAATGCAAGCACCGTTATGGTTGGTTTTCCTCATTTCAAGCAATTTATTCATAGATGTCATTGCAATCAACTGTGTGCCATGATACTTTGCTGCCTTTCAACATTCAAGATTCATTTGGTTTTATTTGTTACAGAACATAAGAAAAAACAAAGCTCATTAGAGTTGAGTCCAGTGTTTTCCCACTAATTACCCTGTAGAGTGCTCTCTAAATGATTACCGTTAAAATCTCTCACAAGTAAGATCATGCGAGCTCCATGCGTCAAATCAAACCCAAGCGAAGATGGGAATAGCCAGGAAGCTGGGCTGAATAATTACAAAACCTAAGCTTACATAATTTGATCGGTGCCTATCTGCGTCTTAAAAAGTGCTTTCTCCTTTTGAAAGCCTAGCAGCCAATGCCCATTACAGACGGAAATTTCATTTCAGTGTAATATGAAAGTGAAGATTGGTGGCTATAATAGTTCAGCACAGTATGGTGAAAGATAACTAATTAAGGGATATTAACACGCAGGAGATCAAATGCGCTCTCCTTTCAGGCATACAGGACGCATATGAAACGGGAGAATCTTCACATGCTAACGTTCACCCCACTCTGACATTTCCTCATCTCGTAAGTAGGACGTGTCCAAAAGGAAGTATGTGGATATACAAGCATACATTCTCCCTACAGTTTAAATTCTGCAGCCCCAGCTCTGTTATGTGTCAGTGCATGGACAGGTATACACAAGTAGGCATTCCTTTGTAGCAAACTTTGATCTGACTTTCACTATCTTTGGAAGCTAAGCAGCATCAGGCATAATTAATACTTGGATGGGAGATCACCAGATAATCCCAAAGCTTGAGGAAATAGAAAAACACACCAAAATAAAGTAATGGGAAACCACTTCCACACTGTTGGTAGGAAAATCACAAGGATGCATCTGTTACATCACGAGGAGTTGAGCTCAACCTGGAGAAGACTTTACCTTGAATGATCTCAAGGGTATGATAAATTGAAGTTACAAATTTTAAGAATGTATGATTCTACCCCTTTACGCTTGTTTCACAGTAACGAAAATAAGTAACAAGGATCTCTGCTTTTATGCTGAAAACAGGTAATGCTGCAAGGTAAAATATCTTTTTAATAAATGTATTTGTAGGCATATTAGTATGAAAGATAACATGTTAAAATTATGCAGTTATACTGTACATCTGGATGTTCAACAGCAGGGAGACACAGAACACATACACACATTTAGTGTAAATCACTTAATGCCCTTTTCATCTTGTTCAAGAAAACAAAGAAGGTGGTATAAGTTCCCCAACATATCCAAAGCACAGAAGAGTGAGGATAAATGAAAATAATCATTCAGGGGAACAGGAACACAAACCATGATCTGCTTTACATGTATATTGACATGTGTCAGTCAACTAAGAGTAGTAGACATCCTGAAGTTTCCATGGTATTCACTGCTTTCCAGACCTTGGTTTCAACTTTTCACAGCCTCTATTGTGTAACCCTTATTTGATTTCCTTCACATAATCAAAGCTATGTGTTCTCTGATCTAATTGAGGAATCTAGCTAATTTCTTTCAGCCAGTCAGTGGCCTGACATCTCCTCTTCCTTCCAGCATTTTAGCTTTCCCCAGATCTACTTTAGGGATATGGCTTATCTGAACCAATTTGCTAGATGTCTAACAGTGGTTGTAGTGTCAAGCTCCATTTCAATTAATGGGTTAATATCTTGTAGTGAATTCAATAACCTAATTAAGTGTGCAAAGAAACACTTTCTTTTATCTGTGTGAACTTTGTTTTAATTGGTTTTATTGGCAATTCCATCTATTTGGAATTCATCTCCCCATATTGATATTTCTGCTGGAATGGGAAAACTGAAATCCAGTCTTGGCTGATCTTAGAAAAGTAAGCAGGGTCAGACCTGGTTTATTCTTGGATGAGAGTCCAGTTGGAAATCTGATAGATGGGAAAGGCAAAATACATCTCACAAGAAGTTCTGTATCACTCTAAGAGGTATCCATCCATAAAATTGCCAAAAGTTGGACTTAACTCAAAGGAATACGTACTTTGCTAATAAATATATCACTTAGCTATAGATTTTTTTCCTCCCTTAGGGAACCAAAATAGCTATGATTTATTTTTAAGTACCTGAAAAAAAACCTCCACCTTTGATTCTCATCAATATTTTGTAGAGATGAATTAAAGCACCTGTCTTTAATTCAAGAGGAAAGATATTGTTCAGCTGGGATCCAGTCTTGTGGAATGAATTCTCAAATCACCAAAAGCCCCAAAGGAATAATTTTCTCTAGCTCCCTTTCTCTAAAATAAGTTATATGTTCTATAATGTCCCCCATTCCCATTCTTTCTTCTACTTCTCCTGCCTTTCCTTCATCAGCTGCCTATGTTGTCCCTTGCATTGGCCAATCCAGGATCCTTTATATCTTGAATTTGCTCAGTTCCTATCAGATCTCCTAAACTGTTAGCTGCATCCTTAATTTCTCATGTCCTTCTTTGGCATCTGTAATTACTCCCATCTTCATCTTCCTCTCCTGTTGGTTTATTCTGCCTTTAATATGGCTGATCATGATTTTTTCCAGATAAATTATGGAATAAATAAAAATAAAAGAATAATTACAACAATTAGCACTCCCCCCCCCCAAAAAAAAGGGGTTGGGTGCCAAATAGAATGTCATGTGGACAGTAAAAATGGTAGTGAATCTCACAAAAATCTGGGGGAAGATCCCAGTACTGGAATCTAAGACTTATGTCCTCTGAAGACAAAACAAAGCTTCAAGAAATTCTTAGCCTGTTTCATCCAGAGGAAGTACTATGGACCTCCCTGCTCCCCAAGAGTTAACCCTAACCCTTATTCAGGAGAAAGATATTACTTGTGAGTAGTCCTTTTGCCCAGCTCTTTGTCAGGATGCCTAGCTTGATTGGGTTGATGCTATATCTGGAGCATCCAAGCTTTCAGCACACCTGTGACTTGGCTCTTGCTTGATTTCTAGACTCTGAATCTTTCACTGCTGCCTGAGTGTCACATACTTGACTTTGTAGGACATTAAATGTACTGTCCCCGTTGGTTTCCAGTTACTGCAGTGCCCTAATGGATGGGCAGAGTTGGAATCGGAGGAGAAATGCTATTTTAACACCAATATAGCTAAGATGATTTGAGCCTGTCCCATTCGTGAACTGGAGATGAGGAGAAGACAATATTGTGGGGACACGGGGAGATTATGTTGCCAGAGCATGATTAGGCCAGGTTTGGGTGCCACCCCAGCATAATTTGTGACATTGGATATTAACAATTTTTCACTACTGGTTCTGACCAGATTAGTTTACACTGGTCCCTTGGATTCCCACCAAAGAAAAAGGGTCTTCTACAAAGTTCTGGAACATGCTCAGCCTCTCCTTTTAGGAAAGGAGTTGAGTCGAGGCCTTCTGAGGAGCTGAAATTAATGGTGAAGAGCTGAGTTTAACTGTGGCCATTTGCTCACTAATGATTTATAACTTTTTCTAGTGCCATCCAATCATCCTTGGATGATGGAATGAGAATAGACTCCTTGGTGGTTGTGTGACGTTGGAAGACCCTATGAATCATCAGGGAAGAAACAGTTTGTGTTTATGGTTTAGGGCAGTGTTGTCCAAACTTGGCCACTTTAAGATAAGTGGACTTCAACTCCCAGAATTCCCCAGCCAACCATGGTGGGTTGGGGAATTTTGGGGTTGGAGGGGATTTATTTTTAAGTGGGCAAGTTTTGACAAAAATTGGTTTGGGG